TCTATTGCTCGTGAGTTTGAGCTTAGACGTTCACTTCAACTGATGGCCAAAAAAGGTAAAGACTTTACCACTTATTGTCGTCAGTTTAGAGCCATCTGTGACAAGTTGAACTCCACTGGGAAGCTTGTTGAAGAATCTGTGAAGATCTTTTCATTTATCAACGGTCTAGGCAGAGAATATGAACCTATCATCACAGTTATTCAGAGTTCCATGACTTGGTTTCGTGTTACAACTCTGAATGATGGTATATATCAGAAGTCTCTGGTTTTGATGCTCGTCTGCAGTTTATGAAGAAACATATGATGTCATCCCTAACATGGCCTTGCAAACTCAAAGAGAGTTCTACAATAACTCCAATAGAGGTTGAGGCAACAACTATTCTTGTGGTTTTGGTGGCTTCTCAAACTGTGGTGCTTCTCAACCCGTGGAGGTTCTCAACTCGTGGCAGAGGTTTCACTCAGCAAGTCAGTAACTCTGGTGGTAACAACAGTAACAATACTCGCCCTGTTTATCAGATTTGTGGCCGTACGGTCACTCCACTCTTCGCTGTTGGAACCGCTTTGATACCTCATATCAAAGTGATTATATGCCTCATGCCATGTCAGCTTTTCCAGTCTCAGACTCCAGCGGCAGGGAATAGATAGTTGACTCTGCTCACATGACCTCCACCACTGCTCAAATAAAAAATACAACTCCATACAATGATCTTGAGCACATTATGGTGGTATATGGAAAATTCCTTCATATCACTCATGTTGGTTCCACTAAACTCACCACTGATACAGGCACTCTTCCTTTTAATGATGTACTTATATGTCCATCAATGATGAGGTCTCTCTTATCTGTATCAAAATTGTGTGATGATTACCTATGTGGGGTGTTCTTTGACTCTAATGATGTCTATGTGATTGACCTTAATACTCAGAAGGTGGTGACAAAGGGACAGAGAAATAAAGGCTTGTATGTGGATGAGAAGAAAGAGTTTGTCGTTTACTTCTCAAATCGTAAGTGTGCATCTAGTGATATGGTGTGGCATCAGCGACTTGGACATGCAAACTTTCAAATTCTGCTGCTCCTCGAGCAAAGCAAGGCAATCATAGTCAATTAGAGCAGCACATCTCATGTTTGTGGTCCTTTCCATATGGGAAAAGTTCACAACTTCTATTTTTTTATTTCAGAGTCTAGTGTCAAGGAACCCATAGATCAGATTCATTGTGATCTGTGCGGCCTTTTTCCGACTGTATCAGTCCAAGGTTTCAATTAATATGCAGTAATTTTTGACAATTTTAGTCACTACTCTTGGATAATCCCACTTAAAGCCAAGTCTGATTTTTATGATGCGTTTCTTGGCTTCCAAAAACAAGNTTTTTTATTTCAGAGTCTAGTGTCAAGGAACCCATAGATCAGATTCATTGTGATCTGTGCGGCCTTTTTCCGACTGTATCAGTCCAAGGTTTCAATTAATATGCAGTAATTTTTGACAATTTTAGTCACTACTCTTGGATAATCCCACTTAAAGCCAAGTCTGATTTTTATGATGCGTTTCTTGGCTTCCAAAAACAAGTTGAAAACTAATTTAACAAGAAGCTAAAGATATTTCAGAGTGATGGAGGTGGTGAATTTATGAGTACTTGGTTCAGGAACCATCTCATGGAACAAGGGATCATTCATCTTATCTCTTGTCCTTCAACCCCCACATAAAATGGTATTGCTGAATAAAAACATAGATATCTCACTGAATTTGGCCTCTCTATGTTGTTCCAAAGTCACACAGCTCTCAAATATTGGGTTGAACCCTTTTACTCTACTAATTTCATTAGCAACATGATCCCTTCTTCGGTTTTGGGGCACAAAAGTCCCTCGCAGGTTCTCTTTAACAAGACAGCGGACTACTATTTCCTTAGAATATTTGGATCAGCTTTTCTCAGCGTAAATTTGAACCAAGTTCATTACAATGTGTCTTTCTTGGCTATCATCCTCAATATAAAGGTTATCGGTGCTTACATCCACCAACAAGAAGAGCATATATGTGACAACTTGTCCAGTGGAAGCTCACAGCGCTACAGCGCATCAACCCTAACCCCTCCCATGTCAACCCTCACTGACTCCCCCATGTAGGTTATTGATGCGCTTGGCGCTACTCGAACCCAAGACCTCATCCTTTAACAACTCTTCCATAAGGCAAGTTGCCACCAATTGCTCTGCATGTCAATTGGTGACAGCGTGGGAGTTCTGTTAAAGGGTGAGGACATGGATTCGAGTCTCACCAAGAACCTAATTATTGAGTTAGTGAGAACTCATAATGGAGGGTTTGGGGTCGGTGCGCTGCAGCGCTGTAAACCTGAGGTCTATGGGAAAGTGAGGTCCACGGGACAGGTTGTCACAATATATCTCTCGACAAGTGATCTTTGACGAGCAGACTTTACCATTTACTGGCCAATACAAGCATCTACTTGTTCAACACAACACTGGTCTCTTCAAGGCATGGCAAGATGGTACTACTTTTACTACTCCTCCGGTCTACCTTCCTACTGTCCGACCTCAAGTTACAGAGTATCCTCAAACTGAAAGGCAAGTTACAACGGGTCATGATACTTATGTAGAGCCTTCAATTACTCACACTGTGCAGGATGTTGCATACATTGGTTCTACTGATCACGAAGAATCTCTTTTGCAACTTATTGATGATAAGCAACAATATGCTCATGTAGTTTCAGAGGCAGCAGGACCAAGTCATCCGATGACTACAAGATCACATGCTGGGTATAAGAAAATCTAACCACGTTATGCTTTAGTAGCAAGCAAAACAATTCCATTATTACCAAGAACTATTGTTGAAGCATTAGCGCACCCAGGGTGGAGACAAGCAATGTTAGATGAGCTTGACTCTATCTATCAAAACAATACTTGGGTCTTAAAGGAAGCCATAGAGACAATGAATATCCTTGGTTGCAAATGGATTTTTACTCTCAAGCTGAACACATATAGCACNTAGTAGCAAGCAAAACAATTCCATTATTACCAAGAACTATTGTTGAAGCATTAGCGCACCCAGGGTGGAGACAAGCAATGTTAGATGAGCTTGACTCTATCTATCAAAACAATACTTGGGTCTTAAAGGAAGCCATAGAGACAATGAATATCCTTGGTTGCAAATGGATTTTTACTCTCAAGCTGAACACATATAGCACGCTTAATAAGCTTAAAGCAAGACTTGTTGCCAAAGGATTTGATCAAGAGGAGGAAGTAGACATCATAGGAACATACAGTCCAGTTGTAAGAACTTCTACCATTCGGATTGTTCTTGCTGTAGCAACCTTAAAGAATTGGAGCATTACTCAACTTTCAAAAACGCTTTTCTACATGGCGATCTCCAAGAAGAAGTTTACATGATTCAACCACCAGGTTTTGAAGACTCTATAAACCAAATCATCTTTGTTCTCCTCAAGCAAGCTTCTGGAGCTTGGTTGGACACGTTTAGTAACTTTCTTCTTGAGTATGGTTTTGTTTGCAGTAAAGCTGACCCATCTCTATTTGTTTATCATCATATTGGTGATACATTGGTACTGTTACTGTATGTCGATGATATTCTACTAAAGGCTCAAATTCATCGTTGTTTAAGTCGCTCATTGAGCTTAAGAGTCGCTTCTCAATGATCGATTTGGGGAACCTGCATTACTTCTTGGGAGTTCAAGCTCATAGTACACAATATGGACTCTTCTTGTGTCAGACAAAATACACCGAGGAGATTCTTCATCATGTCAACATGTCTTAGTGAAACTCTTTTCAAACTCCACTACTCTGAGACGATCAAGTATATGAAGATGCTCGTCCTTTCTCTAAACTATGTTACTTCCAAAGCTTTTCTAGGAAACTGCATTATTTAACTATCACTCGAGCTGATATAGTGTGCGGTTAACTTCATATGTCAGAGGATGCATTCTCCAACTGAAGCTGAATTTCATCTGTTGAAGAGAGTTCTCATGTATCTTTGTGGCACATCATCAATGGGGATTCACTTACAAAAGAAGTCAAACATGGATGCTGTTGCATATAGCGACCGTAATTGGACACAATGCAGAGATACAAGACGATCTACAGGTGGTTTATGTGTCATGATTGGATCAAACATTGTATCTTGGTCGGCGAAACGGAAATGACGGTCTCTCAGTCCTCTACAGAGGCTGAATATAGTGCTCTTGCGGTACAGCTTCTTAACTAACCTGGTTATCTTTCGTTCTTCGAGATATGAGAATCACTCAACCAAATCCTGCAATTCTCCGCTGTGACAACCTCTCTGTAGTATATCTCACAGCCAATCCAGTCTTACATAGTCGCATCAAACATATTGAGATTGATTATCACTATGTTCGAGAACATGTAGGTCTTGGTGTCTTGGAAGTTCAACACATTCCTTCTGTAATGAAACTTGCTGATATTTTCACAAAAGTCTCTACCTCGACAGTCTTTTTAAAGTCTTCATGTCAAATAGAGTGTTGATAAACCACTCACCATCAATCTGATGGGAGATGAAAATAAATAATATATGATGGGCCTCAGTCAATTTATCCTATGTCCAATGACTGAAGAAATAAAAATGGTGGCCCAACGATAAACTATGAGCCAGAGTAAAGGCAATACCTTACTACACAAGGAACATAGCAAGAAAACAAACACACAAGCTGTAGCGAGTCGTGGTAAAGCTTTATCTAGCCATTATGGTGTCATACGAGCTGTGGAGTGTGTGTAGCTATGCGACACGTGTTGAATGGTCCAAGTTTAATCTCAGAAGTTGTATATATCTATTATATAAAGCTAAGTTTCTCTCCTTTTAAGGCATGCCACATAGGATGCCATGTCACCAAGTCCATATCAACATTTTTGTTTTGTCAGAATAAAAAGAAGTTAAAGACAAACAATAACTCCGCCTGTTTCAAGTGTCACTCGTCGACGGCGCAGGAAAGGGAGAGACGACCGTAGTCCACGATCAATAGATTAGGGTTAGAGCGAGGCGCGTCGTGATAAGGCTAAAATAACACAATAAAGCCCAACTTAGCCCAACAAAATTTGTGTTTAGTGAAACACAGATGGTGACGTGGACTCTATGAAATCGTGTATCAAAACGTTAAGCAAGTTGAATACAAAAAATGTTCCAGTCAAAGTTCTCTTTGTTGCTCTTATTCTCAGTTACTTGATCTTTTTATATATACACATAATTTATATCAAAGGTTATTTATTCTCAACTTCCATTGTTTCAAGTACATATATCAACGAAGATGTTCTCAACCGTTTTAAACAAGTCTGCTATTATCACCAAATCTTCAAATTAACCAAGGGACGATCGCTTAGACATTGTCTTCGTCGCTCGAACTCGAGCTATCCATTATGTCACCCATTGAAGATCCGGAGAAACCAGACAGCTTTTCATCATTTCTTATAGCCTTGTTTTCAACGATGGAGGTAGAAGTTACAGAGGCAACAACAACAGCAGCCGGTTTGGGGTTTGTGGATTCCGGTACGAGTCCTTGCGCCTCCATGGTTTCTCTAGCTGCTCTTTCCTTAGCTCTCTTGGCTCTTTCAAGTACCTCTTCCTGTGAATGCATATCAAAACATCTATCAACAATCAATTGTCATGTACAGTTGTTTAGACTTTAATACATGACAATGCTCCTTGGCAGGAAGAGATTCATGGAGAAGAATAACGTAAAGAGAGAGACAGTACCTGAATCTCTTGAACTTGCTTCTGTTGCTCAGCTTGAAACCTTCCAATGTTACCCAAGACTTCTCCAACAGTGGACTCAATTCGCTCGTTGATAACCTCGGCTAGTGCTTTTCCCAAAAAGAAAGCATCTAACACATTTCTGTTTCCGTTTTCACCTATACCCAAAAGAAAACATATTTGATTTTATCGCCAACAAGCAAACCCATAAGCACATTTAAATCTTCCAGATTTTGGAATCTTATTGATATCATCCTGGAGCTGTCAAAATTACAATCTCTATATGAAGATAAGCCCTAAAGATAATAATTGCAGAACGAAAGGCCAAAAAATTATTTAAAAAGAAAGGGGGGTTCTCACCAGAATCTGTACCCCCCTTCCCTTTGCTGCAGCAATTGCACTTTAAAGAGGTTCTTCGAACATCACCACTTCGTCGTATCCCGCGAATCTCAAAATTGGAACGCGGATTGCGGAAAACACGACAAGGTTGATGATAGGCATTGGAGAAAGAAAGTGGAATCGCGAAGCTGCTCATCTCGCTCAAATCTCTACCCTCGGACCTCCGATTGGTTCTCTCTCGTCGTCTAAGAATGTCAAATAGATTCGAGTTATAACATTTGGGCATTGAAGGCCCAAACCTGAACCCCTAGCACATTAGTTAGTACACTTTAACAAAATAAAATAAATTAAATATTTGGGTATTTTTTTTTTGTTGATTTTAGGATTTTAGCTTGAGAATTGAGATGATTTCTGGCAAATATTGGGTAACTAAACAAAAGCAGATTCACATCATGAACTACAAAATTACAACATTTAGGGAATTAAATTTGATATATTTCATTTAATTTATTTGTGTAGTTACGAAAATATTATATTCATAATTGTATATTTTTAAAATAAATATTCATTTAAACTATCTTTTATTATATCTAATAAGTTATCTTTATAATATTAATGATTCTAATAAGAAATTACCTTTTTGATGACTAAAATAGAAATTAAAATATTGTTACAATTTATTAAGATAATCAATACAGAGTTAATTTATAGAAAATAAACAGAAGTTATAAATTTTATCACTAGAATAAGAAATGTACAAATTTTATAAAATAGTATAGTTTATCAGTAGAAAATAATTTAATTTTATAAACCATATTTAAAAGATGATTAATATTGCTACTAATATAAAAAAAATTAAAAGAAAATATATTATGTTTTCAAATAATGATTCAAATGGATGGATCCATCAGTGTATGACCAAAACGTAGAACAGAAACAACAATGGCAAAATCAGAGCAGCACCAAAAGGTGAGATAAAAAGCAAATATATTGTTGAAAGCTGATAGAATAGCAGAATTTGATAAAAGGATAAGATATACTGGAAAACCAACGTAACTTGTGCTCAAAAACCCAACAAAAGTGGTTTGGTTTTTACGTAGCAAATTGAAAAAAGTGTTTAAAAACTAGTGTCCCTATATTCTAGGGAATCTATTTTCTCAAAATCTTGAATTGCTGGAAAATAGATTTTCTAAAAACAAAAACCAAAAACTACTATAGAAACTGTAGACAATCAACCTCTTTATTTTTTTTTCTGTTTATATATATTTCAAACTTTTCATAATAATCCTCTAAAGAAGAGCAAAAGATGATCTTAATGTAATAGTCAATCTAGCTTTAGCATATATACGATCTATGGCTTATAATATAAAGTGAGTTTAACAGACAAATTAGTTTGAGGTTTTTAAGAAGATAGTTTTGGTCAGCAGATGAGAAGACTTACCATCATTATCGGGGTCCGTAACCTCATTTCTTAGCTAATAAAACGCAAAATTTAAATAAAAAGGCTTGAAAACAGTGAATACGATTGTTAATTAACAATCGTTTATAGCACGTCCGTGAGGGCACATGTCATCCTCAGAGAGCAAGACCGAAAGGGATTGGAAAGGAGTTTGGTTTAACGCATTCATTTCACGCGTCTCCGTTCTCTCGTTCTCTGTTTTTTGCGATTGAGAAGGCGACACCGCTGATCCTGCTCATTTCACACCGAGCTCTCTCTGGAATTGAACCGATCGCTCCGACGATTTCAACCGACCCCATCGATCTGGCTTGCTCAGTTCTCACCAACCATCTCCACCGATCTCTCCGCCGAATCGATTCCACCGATCTAAACCAGGTATCTCTCTTTACTCTGTTTGTGACGATTTCGACGATGGTTTGTGACGATTTTGAGGATTGTGATGATAGTAGATACAAATGAAAATTAGGGTTTGTGAAAATTAGGGTTTGTGAATAATAGGGTTTCTGGAAATTAGGGATTCTGAAATTTAGGTATTTTGAATGGTTGTTTGTGACGATTCAATGGTTGATTGTATGTTTCTGATTGAACTATGGTCATCTTTTTGTAACTTGGTCATTTTTAACGATGGTGAAACTCATTAGATTTAAACTCTTAGATTTGAAACTCTTATCATTCACTCATTTTAGGACATTCATTGATGAGTATCTGCTCATTCATTAACTCGATATGATTTTAAACTCATACCGTGTTTTACTTTGTGTATTCTTGGCGAATAGACATTGTGTACATGGTGACAGCTAAAACAATGCATTACTTAATCTAAAATGAAAATGAAAATGAAAATGAAAATGATAACCATGGAGATATCAAAAACATTTCCGCTGAAATGAAAATGAAAACCGTGAAGAGTTTAGTTTGTTCTAAACCAAAACTGAACTGTGTTAAGTTCGTTTGAAAGGAAATGTTAATAAAGAGAAGTTAGGTTGAAACAAAATCAGCTTTGAATTTAATTTCGAAATTGCTTTGATGGTAGTGTATTGTGTAATTAGTATTGATTTGACTGTGGTAGTTTATGGTTAGGTCTTTATGATTGTAACTTATTACTAGTGTCAAGTTCCACCTATTAAACCCCAACCACCCTTCATTGTATCATATATTTCCATCATCTTCTTTCTCTCTTCTTTCCTAAAACCATCATCTTCTTTCTCTCTTCTGTTCTTATTGATATCGATTCTCAGCATCCATATAGCCACTTTTCTAGCTACGTAGGCCTTCTGAACAGTCTTTCCCCATTCTAACTTTCCTTATGAGAGTTATTCTTTATCTGTCAACATAGGAGCTTCAGAAATCCCTCCTTTTAGTAGCCAATATTCTGATGCTCGAAGTCCTGAAGAGAAACCAGTGGGGCATAGAGAGAGAAGAAAATGGACTCCAGCAAATGACGAGTTCATGATTAGTGCATGGCTTAACACTTCTAAAGATACTATTGTTGGGACTGAACAAAAGTTAGGGACGTTCTGGAAACGTGTTGGTGAATACTATGCAGAAAGTCCTCACGCTAGAGCTACTGGTGAGAAGATAGAGCATCTCAACCTGAAGCAGAGGTGGCACCGAATCAATGACCTTACAAACAAGTTTTGTGGCTCCTTTGCAGCTGCGGAGAGACAATATAGCAGTGGTTAGAGTGATAATGATGTCCTGCAGCGTGATCTTGAAATCTTCTACTCTGATTACAAGCTTAGGTTTAACCTTGAGCACGCATGGTGTCTCTTGAGGTATGAACAGAAATGGCTTACTCTCAACACTTCTACAGTCAGTAACAGTGCAAAGAGAAAGGTAGGTGAGGAAGTTTCCCAAAACTCAAGCACGAATGTTGGTGATGAAGAGATAAGGCCTGAAGGAATCAAGGCTGCGAAAGCAAGAAGGAATAGTGGTGGAAAAGGAAAGGATCCTGTTGATTATGACCGCATTTGGGAGATTAAGAAGGTGGGCTTGGAGATGAAGGAGAAACTGTCAAAGTTGGCAATTCTAGACACTCTCCTTGCTAAAAAGGAACAGCTAACTGAGGCTGAAGAAGTTGTCAAGAATAAGCTACTCCTTTTATGTTAAATCTTTGTTCTTTTTTGTTGTCAAGAACCGCTATCTGTTTCTTTGCTTCGTGTTAAACCTTTCTACTTTTATGAATGTAGTTCCTGTTTGGTATGGTGACTTCAATGTTATAAATGTTTCAGTGGTTCGTTAATGTTAAATATTGTCATGTTTCACTGCTTTAACTCTGTTTTTTTTTTGTTTAATAGTCTGTTAAAAATGTAGCATTGCTTTAACTCAGTTACAAACTCATTGACTTACATATAACATTGTGCAATGTTTGCTTTCAGGTTAAGGCAGAAATGGGTCAAGACTACAGCTACACTCAGCCTTCAAGCTCAGAGGTGTATGGTACGTTCAGTGGGCACAGTGATACAGAAGCAGACATTCTCGAGGACCAATCTCAGATCATGTACAATAATGCAGATCAGATTCAATACCCTCCTCAACCAGAGGTTGAGTTTGGGTTCCCGAAGAAGTGTTATTGTGGTGGTGAACCTCTCGTGGATACATCTTACACCCGTAATAATCCAGGCAGAAGGTTTTATACATGTGAGAATCGGGATGCGACTGCCATCTGAGGAAGTGGTGGGATGTGACGGCTACTGAGGAGAAGAGAGCCCTGGAGACACTGTACATTCAGCTCACAGAGAAGCTCAACTTTGTAACTGGTTCCAGTTCGTATCATCCTGAACTTGACGAGGTCAAGTTGCTGCATAGTAAGTCTGACCAAAAGTTGGTTGAGTTAGAGAGGATTATGGGTGACTTGGCTAAGAAGAAAGCAAGGTTTGAATTGGTTATTGCGGTACTTGCTATTGCAGTTGTCTTAGTAGGTATTCTCCTGATGTTTTAGGAGTAGAAGTGTAATGTATTGTAGTTGAAACTGATGTATCCGTGTAATGTATCCATGTGGATTTGTAACGTAATGTATTGTAGTTAATGTAATGTACGGACTCGTAATGTAATGTATGGACTCGTAATGTAATGTATCTGTGTGGACTTGTAATGTTTCAAACTTGTTTTTTCCTTGAGTAAATTTTACCAAACTTTGATGTTTAAAACATGTTATTTTCTTTACCAAACTTTTGTTATTTTCTCTACCAAACTTTACCAAGCTGCACCAAACTCAACCAAACTTCGATGATTAAAATGTTTTCTTTTCCATACCAAACTCGTGTTTTTTTCTTTACCAAACTTTACTGAATTTTGATGTTTATATAATAATGGCATTCTCTCTTTATAATAATTCCAACCATCTCTCTTGCAATCTTCTTCGAAACATTTGGTCTCTTTTGCATTTGTATTTTTTCCATTGATAATGGCATCTTCTTCCCATTATCATTACCACAAAAATGATGAAGACGATGATATTGATACTATCTTTGAAGCCACATTTTAAGAATTAATTGAAAATTCTTCTGCAAACACAACACCCAAAGAGCAAAAAAAACGTATTTTCATTGAGAGAAATCGGGAAGAAGGCCACATACCCTCCCAATTTATTTCGGCGTCGGTTTCGAATGAACAAACCATTGTTCATGCGTATTGTGCATTGTCTCTCAACGGAAGTTGATTATTTTCAACCAACACAAGATGCAATCGGACGGGATGGTCTTTCACCGATCCAAAAATGCACTGCAGCAATTCGCCAATTGGCCTACGGTGGTGCGGCTGACTGATATCACTCAAATGTTTAACCCTAAGAAGTGAATTAGTCTCTC